CATGGAGGGGCCTGGATAGGGGGGTTGGGGTTATTGTGAGAAAAGTGCTGTTGTTGATAAATGCACAGTCCCAGCCTCAAAGCCTCAACAACATGGCATGTCTAGATAGGTTTTGTCAACACTTCTACAGATAGGTTTTGTCTTCTATAGATAGGTTTTGTCTTCTATAGATAGGTTTTGTCTTCTATAGATAGGTTTTGTCTTCTATAGATAGGTTTTGTCTTCTATAGATAGGTTTTGTCTTCTACAGATAGGTATGCTTCACGGTAAGCTGAGAATGTTTCGGAGCGTTCTATGGTCTGCTGGGGTAATAATATAGTGGAAAGCGCCTAGAGCCTGCTGTTGAGCGGGGATAAGCGTTATACAAATGCATCTATTATTATTACAAGATATCTTTCCACGGTACCGCCGGGTACCATTCCCACTTGGATGAAGTGAGGAGAATTCCTACAACATACCTCTAAAAGGACATGATATCGCCCTATGGCAGGGTTCAAACCCATGACCTTCAGTCACAAAACACAAACGCCACTTCTGTCTTGCAAACTACTACAAATCAGTCTTGAATTCTGTACTCCAAATTACACATCTCGGATACAGAGAGATCTAGATCTAGAGTCTTGCTCTAAAAAACTACGCACCAAATACATCTCGGATACAGAGAGATCTAGATCTGAAGTCTTGCTCTAAAAAACTACGCACCAAATACATCTAGGATACAGAGAGATCTAGATCTGAAGTCTTGCTCCAAAAATTCTACCCACCAAACAGGCGCCAAAATTTTGAAAACGTCAATACAACGAAGTAAACATTTTGTGAGTCTAAAGGAACACAACGTATTGGGGACATGACTATACCAAATGTATCTAGAAAAAGTCAATACGATGAAGTTTGGCCGGAAGTATCCATCGACACTGTCAAGCACACATCCAAACAGAGTTGGATGTCGAGATTCTAGTTCTGGAAGTAGAAGAAGCAGCTGTCTCACACCCAGGAAGAAGACCAATATGAAATGGAAGTGGCCCCTAGTAAAATATGAAATGGCTAACGGCAGAGAGAAAACATCCGAGAGCTTCGATTTACAGGAAAAACCATCAAACCTGAGAAATCAAAAAGTAGTTTCCGAACTTTGAAAATCTGCCCACGTAAACCTTTGGGGCAATTCTTGTCTGAATCATACTTTTGTAGATTTTATGAGCTCCTGTGTAAGACGTTTTTACTGACCACACACACGGGCTTAGCTCCATTATAATAAGATTATTAGGTTTTGTCAACATGGCTGGGATCAAACCAGACGGAAGGACAGCTACCCAAACGAGCAGACGATGACGTGGACAAACCTTTTCACGAAGGTCGCAACCCCTTCAGCGTCGACACACATCTGGAATATTCTCAGCCAGATCTCGGGAGGTAAATGATACCTGGTGTTGCCCACTGGTCTCCCTGCCACAGTCTGGACATCTGAGGACAGATTGAGGCGTGCAAGTCCCATTAAATATTTGCCAGCTCGTAAAAAAAGAACGAAAGTTTGCGTTTAAAATTCTCAAAACAAATAAAAGTTTTCCAACGACAACATTCACAAACAATGTCTGGCCAAGACAGCAGCAACACTTTTCCAGGAACGTCCATCAAACAACAGACACACTTTTCTAGGAACGTCCATCAAACAACAGACACACTTTTCCAGGAACATCCATCAAACAACAGACACACTTTTCCAGGAACGTCCATCAAACAACAGACACACTTTTCCAGGAACATCCATCAAACAACAGACACACTTTTCCAGGAACGTCCATCAAACAACAGACACACTTTTCCAGGAACATCCATCAAACAACGGACACACTTTTCCAGGAACATCCATCAAACAACGGACACACTTTTCCAGGAACGTCCACCAATCAACGTACACACTTTTCCAGGAACGTCCATCAAACAACAGACACACTAACAAAAGCTAGAGCAGTCAAACAACGCCAAGGGACACAACTACACACTCACAACAAACAACTATAGCCCTCTGTGAGAGTAACTTAACACAAAAATAAAACATACACACATGTTCTCATACATACATACTCTCACACATACAGCAAGTCAGACAAATCTCAAAAATACATTAAAAACTAACAAGCCCATCCCATACTATTTTTGGACGCTGCCCCACTATAGTCTAAAGCAAACCAGATAAGCACACACACATGAAATGACAAGTTTGTTCACGACAAAACTACAAATCGGTGAGATACAAACGCTGTCACCTTTTTTGCTGTTAAGCCTTGTGCTCTTTGTACTTCTGGCCACCCCGGCCTGCCACGAGTTGGTTTTGTCCTTCAGTTTCCTTTTCAAACTCCGCTTCTTCGCCTTCTTCAGCACACATGCTTCATCGTCTTCATCTGTCGACCTCCTGAGAAAACGTGTTACAAAATATAGGCAGAGATCAAGTTCTACTCCCAATGTGTATTTTCTTACAGAGCTCAGAGATAACAACTTGTGCTCAAGTACCACCAACAATATCGGTCGCTAAAACAACACTTGCTGTTGGCGCTAGTAGTCCCATGATCATTCCAGTTTTACCAGCTAAGCATTCCCTAAAGACGTACAGCGCTGCAGCCATCTCAACGCAGAAACGTACCCTTCACAAACTTCATAACTTGTCATTAAATTATAAACCAAAAAATATGCCTAAGTAATAATTCAAACAAGTGATGCAGCTGACACACTCTCATAATTCCACACTAGGTGATCTGAGAACAGGTTTGAAGACATAATACCCACCTGCCTGGGAAATAGTCCGAGTCGTCAGAATCTGAGGGATATTCCTCCCCCTTCCTCGAGGTGAGACTGAAGAGTATACTCTTTTTCTTGGGCAGCCCAAGGATCCCTCGCTCCGTCCTTTGTCCACTCATCCTTCTGTCACTCTCAGCTCAGCACAGCCACAATAGACAGAACTGCTTAGAGCCAATACAACAAACGCAGCCTGCTACTCAGCAATCAATCCTGTTTTACGTCCAGGGATCTTGAGCCTTGATCAAGGAACGGAATATTTAATTCTGAAAGTAGAAACAATACAGGACAAGGTAAGTGTAATCTATTTCCAGAACGGCTGTTCTGTAGGTGTCAAATTATCCCTGTTTCTCGATGGAATGGCTGTTCTGTAGGCGTCAGATTCTGTTTCTCAAGGTTCTGTCCATAGATCATGAGTGTGTCACAGAGAGGAGATTTCATCTCTCAAGTCTTTGTGATAACTTTAGTAGTATCTCATCATGAAATGACACTCAGATTTTTTTTTAGGTTAATACAGTCAAGCATGGACATCAAGCAAAATGAATTTATAGATCGTTCAAACAATACAATAATACCATTTCTTCAGAGAACTGATATTTTCTTTGTCTTGACAACACTGTTTTCTCAAACACCCTCCACTCCACCCCAGATTTGCCTTCCTAAAACTTACACACAAAACAATTGTCAACTAAAGAGCTATCCCATCTGGAAATGCTTAGTGAAATAGAAGTTAATAAAACGCTGGGATCTGGAAATAGCCCAAAGGTCTTGGCCCCTAGATGAGAAAGGAGGGGACTGAGGAAGAGAGAATGCCAAAGATTTAACAAGTAGAAAAAAAAAAGAAATTAAATCAGTTGTCGTAGCATTCCAAACCATGACCACACAGTCAAAGGCCAGCACTTTAATTTATTTTTCTATTGCTTTAAACTTCAAATCTTATTTGCCAACTTGGACTCGGCTTCTACTTCTCTTCGTTTAGACCATTTTTAATCCATGTATTTTTGTGACTGGTCAAGAACTGAGTAAATGAGGACCGAGGAGAATCGTCAACAACAATGTTCAAACTTCATAGTGTGATGTAGAATAGTTTCTCCAATCTACTCCGTAAGTGGGCACGAGTTGTTCTAAGAAGATCCATTAGTAATCATTAGACCGGTAGAATTAGTCTTGTCTTAGAACCCTAACCCTAAACATAACCCTGACCCTAAATCTAACCTAACCCTACCCCTAACCATTTACTTAACCCTAATTCTAACCATAACCCAAACCTTAACCATAACCCAACCTTAAGTTCTAACCCAAACCTTGACTCTACTAACTCTTTAGTTTTAGTAGAGGTTTTACGGCGCTCGCAACTGCATTAGGTCATATGAGCGCCAGAAGATTAGAGCTGTTACAAGAGAGTAACGACCATAAAAAAGATGAAGGGGAGATCAGGACGATAGACGTTTGATAGGAAAGAAGAAGCAAACCACACCAGAGCACCCGCCAACCACCCACTACTAACTCTGACTCTGACCCAAACCATCAAACCTTAACCCTGAACCTAACCCTAAACTTAAGCCTAACCCGGCATTCTCCGGTTTGGGCCCCAAGAGTACTACTGGAATATTGATACTAACTTTTAAATATTCGGTTTTCATGTATTACCCGAACAAAAGCGATTGATGCGCTGTTATTTTTAAATACAAAATGAGCAGTAATATTTCACTTGTTTTTAAACAAGGGGGTTTGATGTTTTAGTTTTACAATTGATATCTCTTCATATATCGGCATGTGTGTCGAAAAGAAGATCTAATCATTTAGAACCAGAAGTAATCAGCGGTGGAGTCAAAACCCACACTCACTCCATAGTTATCGTTGGGGCCGAAACCGGATTATAGTACAGGCTACCTCTAGCTGCCTAACTAAACCTAACCCGGCACTCTTTGGGAGAAGTGGTCCCGACCTTTAACTCCATAGACATTACATTATTTACATGCGTAAAAAAAGAGGGGGTACCTGTACATTCACAACAACAATGGTTTGTAACAGTTTTTAGTGCCAACATTGTTCTCAGAATCCTGAAAAAATGTTTAAATAGTGCCGAAAAATAGTCTTAAATGGGTTGGGACTTTTTCTATAAATTTATCGATGGCCTTTTCACCCTGGCAACTCGGTCACTCCGGTCAGCTTTTTTACTCGACTTCGTTTTTGTTTCCGATTTTGAGTATGGCCACCTCTATTCTCACCCGGAGTGAGAATAGTGCAGGCGAGTCTTGTGTCTATTCTCACCCGGTGCGCGTTCACCCTAAACCACAGAATTCTACACTGTGATAACAGAAAAATTGTAGAATTCTGTGCCGTGAACAAACGTTCCATTACAACTGTAGCCTACTAAAAGCGTACAATTTTGTCTGTGGGCAGTGGAGAGAGAGAGAGAAAGAGAGAGAGGAGTAGCGCGAGAATTTCCGGGCAAAACAAAATGGCGACCCGCGTAGTTCGGCTCGATTCGAAAAGTTAAATAGCCGTAGCATCTTTGTAGACAACCAAATTAATTTACTTTTGTGTTTTAACATCATTTTTTAACTTTGTTTTGGTCAATTTGATCGTCCACACCGATAGACAGTATTCAGAAAGAGACGGAGAGAGAGAGAAGAGGGGAGGAGTTGATCTTGCGAGAACTTCCGGGCGGGTGAGAATAGCCACTTTCTTTGAGTATAAATGTTGGAGTTAGGCCGGGACCACTTCTACTGAAGAGTGCCCCTAACTCTAACCCTTAGTGCCTTGCCTTAGTTACAGTACAGGTTCAGGGACTGAATGACTTTATATTTGTATCATGAGGCTGAGGGAGTAACACTGACAAGACAAGTTACTTTTAAGACTTAAGTTACTAACACTAGACTAGACTAACACACAACTAACAACAGCTCATTCAACACTTACACGTCCTTTCCTAACATCTCTTAAGCTAGTCGTATTGTAAAAGTTACCTTGATGGTGAGAGCAGTTCACAAGCAGGCAGCGATCGCTTTCTGCACTTCTTGATTCCAGAGAACAGTAGAATAGTTCATACTCAGCGCTTTCTACATTTATAAATCTGAGTAATAGTTTTGGATGTAAACAAAAGAAGACTTTCTCCCTTTGCCCTTTATGGGACAGAAGAGCGGTCCTTGCGTGGGTTTTCAATTTCGAGAGACAAAAGATGTCTGAAGAGGGGGAAGCAACTCCTTGGGGGAAGTCCACAGAATTCTACACTTTGTGGGGTTTGTATAGAATTCTGTGGGGAAGTCAAGGAGTTTAGAACTACACTACAAGTACAAAATTTTAGGATTTTTTTTTTTTTTTAAATTCTACTTTCATTTATAAACATGACAATTTAATTAACAATGATATAATATATATTACTCTTACATAAATACATAAAATTACAAACACACACACACGTACTGATTATAATAATCCACTTAACACGCGCCATTGCTGGTCACCACTGTGTTGCGCCCAGATTTGTATGGATTCGCCTTGCCTGCATTGTCACGTTTGAGTTTGGGTTTTTTTTAAACACATAATATTTTATATACATATATAATTTAAGTGTATTTACACCCTCTATTCGACACAATTTAGACCATTAAGGAGGCCAGCTTTGACACTACCAGACTGGGACAACCCAGGACGAGAGGGATGCAACATTCCTGTGTTCGACGTCGAAGCACCTATAAAAGTATAATTGCCAGGGTCACGGTTGGGGGGCTATAAATTTACTACGGTCAAGGAGTTTAGATAACTTTTAATCTCCTTGACTACGGTACATAGGCCGGCCTACTTCCACATTTATGTTAATGCTCCTAAAGCTTAAAATAAGAGACTGAGTTGTGTCTGGGTGTGTGTGTGTGTGTGTGTGTGTGTGTGTGTGTGTGTGTGTGTGTGTGTGTGTGTCTGAGTGTGTGTGCACTCATAGTTGTGTGTGTGTGTGTGTGTGTATGTGTGTGTGTATGTATGTATGTGTGTGTGTTTGCATGTGTGCACGTGTACTTGTGTGTGTGTGTGTGTGTGTGTGTGTGTGTGTGTGTGTGTGTGTGTGTGTGTGTGTGTGTGTGTGTGTGACTCATTATTGTACTGTATATTATTTGCGTTTTCTTTGATCTGTCTAAGGTTTTAGCACCAAATATATATATATATCACATCAGTTACAGCCATCCATAATTTCAAGTGCAACAAAATTTAGAGCCCCTAAATTACATAAAATTAAAATTTAGTTTATCATGGAGGGAGAAGTGTCTCTTTTTTTTTTTACCGTAATTAAAATTTGGACCTCGATCTTGCGCACCTCAGGACCCCAGAGAAAGGACAAATCCTGTGTGTTCTATCTGTTGCTCAAGGCTTAAATTACTTCTGATATAAGTTGCAGTGTTGGTGCTGGGTATGTCTTTGTAAACTGTTTTCACTGCTGTCCATGTATTGCATCATGGTTGAACTGGTTTTCTTAATAACGTAAAATGTTGGGGTTTTTTGCGTGTGAATGAAGAATTACACTCAGCGTGATCCTGTCATGATGTCTCGACTTACACTCATTTGGGATAGGCGAGCGCTATACAAATGTAATCTATCATTATTACTATTATTATGCATATGCGTATGAGTGTGTCTTTGTGTGTAAGTGTGTGTGTGTGTGTGTGTGTGTGTGTGTGTGTGTGTGTGTGTGTGCGTGTGCATTTGTACGTATGGTGTATAGTAGACGCGCACTTGGAAAACCCTCTTGGGTATGTTAAAATAGTAATAGAGTTCCAAACACACAGTCCATATTGAATCACTCTTTCGGAGTATAACCAAATAAAACTTGTTGGCTTTGTATCTCCAATGGATTTTTTTTCTTGGAATAACATGTAGAGATTTGGTTTGAAATTGTTCATACACACGTTCCAAATGTTTACTTTACTCGCGAAAAAATAACTGGCAAATTATAGCGCTCAAATTGGCAATTACCTGCAGAACCGGAAGTTCTCCAGCCGGTCTCACTGCGGAACTTCCGGAAGTTACTTACATGTTGATGGAGAGCTAGTAGAGCCGCACGATGTACGTATAGAATATAAGAACCCGTTACTTTGTTTTACAATAAGTTTAAATAACTCTAATGAAGGATGTCAAAGCTAATGATTTTGTATTAATCCATCGTTTTTTCTTCTCTAGGACGAGTGGAAAGAGTTGGGCAGAGCAAGTGGACCTCGTTGATGAGGGTAAGTTCACTGGCAGCTGGTACTTGGACTTGGACTGGTAACTCGAAAGAAATGTCATCAGTCAGTATCAATGATAATGATTGAGATGACTATGAATCATGAATTCAATGATGATTGACATGGGAAATCGTAAATTTCACAGTAGTCAGCAATCAGCAACATCAGGATTGATACTGGTCAAAATGAAGAAAACAACCATTCCCTTCTAAGTAAGGTCCCAATGTAGCAATGCCAATCGGGCTTTCCCGCGAGGCGAAAATTTGGTCCCCGTTTACGGGCGATTTTGCGGACCCGGCCGAAGCGTAGGTGACTAACTTTGTCAACCTCGGTCTGCTCTATTTCCGAACCAATCCGAATGAAACTCGGCTACCAATCAGAAAATAGGGCA